GCAATTATTCTCAACAATCGGTCACTGACTGGCCCTTCTTTCCACGGTGCGTCCTACCCAGAAAGCCCACGTGGCTCTTTAAAAACAAATTCGAACGACGTAAAATTGACCCTGCGACACGGATCTCCCCCCAAATAAACCATGTGCTCGTCTTTGCGTCCCTCAACGTCACTCCAAGCGTGCGGCTCTCCGCTGCTTCCCGGCATGGACTTTTCGCCCTAACCGTGTGGCTTTCAAAACCAAATGATAAAATAATCGGCGATTGTTATTCAAAAGCATTCCCACCCCCACAGCCCCCGAAAGAGACACACACGCACACAGACGTTCCGGCGGCCAAATAGAAACCAACACAAGGACGATTATTTAAGACTCTGCAGTTGGCGAGCAGCATTTTTTGGAGACATAGCATTGGAGGGGGCGGGCGGGCGGGCTGGGGGGGGTGGTGGTAGTAGCGGGGTGGCAGGCCCGGCGTTACAGGCCAAGAACAGAGGCAACAACAAGCCCACGCAGGCAGGCCACCCGCAGTGAGCGAGGTTAGGCCGAGAGAGAGCAAAAGACGACGCACCACGACGGATAGCCCCGTGGGCCGGAGAGACGGGACGCGTCTCAAAACGAACGCGGCGGTCAGCAATACCCGCGCGCATCAAATCAAATCACGCCTACATTTTGGCGTCCGCACAATTCTTATAAGAAGTTGGAGGCCTGCAAATGTTTTGTTTGCTCATGCCACTGCTGACGGATGGGCCTCCACTGGAGGGAGCACAAGAGAGGCCCTCAGGAGGAGGGTGTTTTTGGCCGAGTCTTCCAAGCTAGCCATTTGAGTCTTGGGCAGATGTGAGAGTACCCACACTTTCCCCCACCGCACATTACCCTGCTGTTCGATGCCACTACAGTGCACTCATTTTTTACACCACTGGGTGGACAGATGCAGAGGGACGATTTCAGAAAACTTGCTCAATTGTTTCAACTTCCGCCGACCGGGAGAAGAAATCGAACCGGCGACCTCCGGACAATCACAGCACAAGCAGGCATCCCAGCCACTCGGATAACGGCACGGCTGCATCGCGTTGGCGCTGTGTTTCACAGACGAGTCTAGTCTGCGGTAGTTCCACAGAAGGGCCCCCCCCCCCCCCGATGTTGCGATACGGCTCTTACCTAATTAGGTCAACCTTGCGGGTAACTTCCGACTTTGGAAAAATTCGCAACCGTGATACCGGCCACACACACACAGCAACAAAACTATTCAACTATTTTCATTTCCTTGGTTCTTTCGGTAAAGTCACGTAGAAGGAAAGTAATACAATAATAAAAATAAAACATAATAAAATCATTCTCACGACGTTTCGGCCACAACGGAAGCAGCCGTCCTCAGGTGAAGAATGCTGCTTGCGTTGTGGCCGAAACTTCGTGAAAATTATTTTATTATGTTTTATTATTATTATTTTATTATTATTTCCCTTCTACGTGACTTTACCGAAAGAACCAAGAAGATGAATCCTTGCAGTCACGAAAGCTTTTAATCGACATTTATTTTCATTTCACCAGGTAAGGCCGCAAGCGAGCCATCTATCTGTGCTTCAGAAGCGACCAGGCCACAAGTGATAGCTCGAAGAAGCAGCTTATCATCATCATCGCGTGGATATTTCTAGCAGCCAGATTACTCGTGAACGTGTGACATCGATTCTAAACGTGGAGGAGAAAAAACGGAGGACGCGGAGAAAAATTCCACGCGACCATCGTGGGGAGAGAGAGAGAGAGAACACGGAAAACTCCAAACGCACTACCAGCGCACTGCGGGTTCAGTGGGGGAACACAAAGGGGGGGGGGAGAGGAAAAGGGGGGGGGGGGAAACACAGGCACCACCCCTCGGTCTCGGCCTGGCCTGACGCCTAATCACACCGTCACGGTGCCTTCGGTGAAGGCTGCATGCAAAAAACCGTGGCCATTTGTCACGAGAGCTTTGTTCGAACACAAGGGGGGAGGAAGAGAGAGGAGAGAGAGAAAGGATTCCTCCTTTTCGCCTCTATCCCCTCCTCCACCACCACCAAGGTCTGGGCGGCGGTGGTGGTGGTGGTGGTAACCGGGGGCCAGTTTTGGCACAAGATCGTAAGTTTCGACTGCAGCAGTAGCAGCCGTTTGTTTATTTTTGACATTTTTTCGTCTTTTTTTTTTAAATCTTTCCTCCCCCGACCACCAGTTTTAGAGAAAACGTGCCATCGGTGTTGTTGTCATGCGACGTTTGGATCTCCCGCGGAGCAGTGCAACCCCCACTGTACGAGAGAGTGCCTCCCGCAGACGTGGATGTCAAAGAGCTACCTCTGAGATTCCCTTCAAAGTGACGTCCGTTCTAGCATTGGGGAGGGGATGGGCGGCACTTTCCCACCTGCTGTGCCACCGACAGCAAAGTCCGTCGCGTGACATTCAAACCGGGCTTTTTGCTTTTGTTTAATTTTCATAACTATAATTTCGCCGCAATAACTGCACGACCAAATTAACGTGACTTTTTTGTGTGTGCAGTCATCGGTGACCGGGGCTGAGACCACCAAAGTCACAGCAGCTGAGAACACATTTTAATCACAGGTGGCCGACTGCATCTAATACCAAAAACTATTTTAAACTCAACTATTTTATATTTTACCAGGCAAAGCCCACTGAACTACGTAGCTCTTTTTTCTGAAGCGACCTCGCCACAAATGATAGCTCAACCAAGTGGCCAATCATCACGTGGGAAATTGACAGCAGCCAAATACTCTCAAAGCACATCGATTGTAAACGTGGAGGGAAACACTGGAGGACCCGGAGAAAAACCACACGGAACCACTGGGAGCAAGAGAGGCAAACTCCAAATATACACACGGCAGGGTCGGGTTCTAACCCACGACCTCATGTACAGCAGGCGAGGGATTTAACATCTCGCCAAGATCCCGGTGGAAGCATCGGCCCAAGAGCTCTGACCTCTGTGCCACGGGGTCACCTCCGTTGTGTGGATGTCAAATATCCCATGACACGGCACACAAGAGGCGGCTAAGTGTGTGCGCGTGTCGCGCGGCGCTAATGACCGCGGTAAATGGACCGCAAATGACGTTCCTTATGTAACTTTTGTCACAAACGCCTGCCTTGCAATGGAGATAATGAATCTCAATGGGCTATCATTTGGTTAAGTACTGTAAAGTATGATGAGTTGTCAGAATGTGAATGGGCGATGATGACTGTTGTAAAGACAGCGATAATGACAACCATCCATTACCGTCATCACGTCCAGCATTATTACCATCATTACCATCGGCGCTACCACTCCTCGCCACAACCGCTATCACCAGCACCACCACCACCACAATCAGAATAAATCACGAAAGCAATCTGAACAAAGACCGATAACTTCACTGTTATCGTCATCCCCGCCACCATCACCATTACGATGACCGCCATCGTTACCGCAACCACGGACATCGTCACTATCAGAAGCCATCGCAACGCTCATCAATAAAATTCCCGAAACAACAAAATGCTGTGCTCTGTTGTAATTACCATCACCATCATAAACCATCACCACTACCATCCACATTACCACAACCACCGTCGCCATCATCAATATATTCACAGTACAATCACAACCACTGCCACAATCAAAAACCCAACACCACTACCATCCACATTACTACCACCATCACAAATATTACCACCACCGTCGCCATCATCAATATATTCACAGGACGATCACAACCGCTGCCACGATCAAAAAACCAACACCGCTACTAACAACATCTATCACGATTACCACTCGCCATCACCAATATTACCAATAACATCGCCCTTCACCCACTTCCGTCAACATCGCCACCATCACTGTACCCCCCCCATCCCCTCCCCTGCCCCAGGACACACCACACAGGCCAAGATGGCACTTGAGGTTCTCAACTTCCCAGCACGCACAGGCAAATAAGCAAACACGATTGGCTGCTGTGCGGCCATGTGAGCGGCCAGGGCCAATCGCACGGCGGGGTCACGCCGGTCCACGGTGGGGAACCTAAAGCGTTTCAGGGTGTGTGTAATGAGCAGCGTGTGTGTGTGTGTGTGTACGCCAAGCTGGCCCTAATAGGCGCTTGCTAACAGCAACCCCCCCCCCCCGCACCAACAATACGTTCAAGGCTACACAGGGCATCTTTGTACGAGTGTTTAGATCAGTGTGTGTACGCATTGAGCATTGGTTATCGTGAACGCATGGGTTTCATGTGTGAATGTTTGCAGGAAGCATATGCGGGCTACGTAGATGTAGGTGTGTTAATGAGCGCGCATAATGCAAATATGTTTCAATATGCATCATTGTCCTCTCTGTAAGTACATATTGTGTTTGTGGCCGAGTGGTTGGCCTAGCGATTAACACACCGCGCAACAAAAAGCCGGCGACCTGATATCGGATTCCGTAGCCACAGGTTAAACATCGGTCGTGGACCACCTGAACCAGTTCTCTGCCCCAACGTCGACTCAGCCTTAAATGAGTCCCTGGTGTGGTGTGTAAACATCGGCACTGGGAAGACAAAGGCCGCCGGGCCAGGCAATGGCCACATATGCGCCAAGCCAGCCTTCGTAGGTGCTTGCTAACCGCACTTTTCTCAACGTTTCGTGGTCTTTGTGCGAGGCAAACGTCGGGTATATGGGCGAGTGTGCACATTTCAACATCGCTGGCTACTTCACCGGCCTTGCCGATCGCTGTGAAGAAGATCCATTGCCCAAAACGTCACCTATGACATTTTTTTTGTTCAAGGCCACAGTGTTGACGAACGTGTTGCGTCATTTAACGTGCACTGTATTTTGAATTTTCACTACCTACGTTTTATCACGCACGTACAATAAAGCTGAAATCAACCAAGCTCGCTGCACGTACTGGGAATGTTCGACGCAACATAATGGGCTCGTGTACGTGTGAGCGTATGCGAGTGTGCGCGCGCTGTGTGTGTGTGTGTGTATGGTTAATGTGTAGCAGATGCACAAGGCCTCACCAGTCTTCTCCTTAATCTCGCACAACACGTTGAAAAGGGCGGGCTTCATTCTGTGACAGTTCAGAGCATGTTTCCTGCGCATAAGGCACACACAACACACGAAACACAAATGTAAAACACACAAAAGGACAAATAACTTCCCCCCCCCCCCCGCCCTACAGCCTTTTACAGGCCGTTGAGCCAAAGTGCTGTTAGCGAGCACCTATGTATGTTGAACTTCTTTCGCACAGTACGTAGCCAACTGTGCTAATCGGTGGTGCTATGAAGAGCAGCACGTCACGCGACGGGTGTCGGTGACCAAGATCAACGCCCGGACGCCTTTGTCTCTCCAGTGGCGATGTTTATTACACACCGCACCAGGCACTCATTTCAGGCCGGGTCAACCAAAGGCGAGGCCCAGGACCGGTTCAAATATTCGCCACTGTTGTTGGTCGTGAGCGGAAACCGAAGTCGGGTCGCGTTGTGTTCGTAGCGCGGTGCGGTAACCACTGCGCCACCACTCCACACGGAGTACGTGCGTGCGCACACATAGTACGCGCACGCACACACAGTATGACAGGGGCCAGTGTCATGTGCTGATGAAAACACGACTACGCAATGGCCTGGTGATTTGCCGCATTGTTGGCGATGATGTGAGACATTAGTCGGTTTCACCAAGTAATTATTTTTTTGTGTTATTTCTGTTTTTTTCCGTTATTGTATTTTCAGATTTTTTTTAATCCAATTTCAGATTTGAAAATTGTATTTTAGTTTCGCAATTCAATTAATCGCGTTTAAACGACACTATTCGCCCATTAAGTGTTAGCGTAATTATTTAAAATATTCATCCGTTCATTTTAATTTTGACAAAATTATTTTTTAAATCGGTTAAATAATTTCCATCAAAATTATTTGCATCAGTCAAATCTTTTTTTTTATGTAGCCATTTCAAAAATTAATTTAGCAAAATTGGCTTACACCGCGTATATCTGCGTCTGTGATGGCACTTTGGGCAGGAAAGCCAAGGAAGTGACAATCTCCATGATGTCACTTCCTGTGACAAATTTTCCGATCACAACACACAACTAGACACAAAGGTAACATTGCATTTTGCACACACACACACACAGAGACTAAGAACCCTTGTGTACAGCGGTATAAACTTGTAGCGAGTTGCTGTTAGCGGGCATTTCTGAACACCGGCACAGCACACAAATTCACAAATTGGTGGCGTGACCACCACCACCACAACCGGCAACCGGGATTCTTTCCTCCACAAATTCTGATGTTTACACAATGCATCAGGTATGCAATTATGGCTCGGTTAACTTTGGAGGGGGGTCCAGCACAAGTGCTGGTATCGCTCGCCACTGATGTTAGCCATGACGACTTGGAATCGAACTCAAGCTATTAAAAGTTTATAGCGGTGCATTACACAAACTACAGAAACTCGGCTCTTGCTATATTGTGCAGAAATGTTATAACACGCAGAGACAACCAACACACGCACGCACACTACACAAACACAGCATATAGTAGAGCACAGGCAAAAAAAATACACACGTACACAAAGCATAGCACAGGCATATAGAACACACGAAGAACACATTACAGCATACAGTCCAGGATAGGCAAAACAACACGCATACACTCCAGGAACATAAGATCACACACAATATACACAACCGTTTAACACAAATGTAAACAACACACAGGCGATCGAGATGCCAAAAATCACAGGCCAGTAATAAAGTAACCGTACAAGTCAAAGTCGACGGGCAGCAGTAACTCAGCAGATGCAGCATCACGCACAAACACACTGGCACAACAAACACACCAGAGGCACACACACACACAGCAGCAGAAGAATCAAGTCGAGATTCCAGAAAGACACGCACACAAGACTCACAATGCACGGAAGATGCACATGGCAGGGAGACACACAAAGAAGCACATCATACACAAATACACAAAAATACTGGACAAAAAAAGGCGAAGGTTAATAGATGAAATTTGCATAGCATGCATACAAGATAAGTAACGTGTGAATTAGGACACAAGCTACATATTGCGAGTACGACACAGGAACGAGATACATGTACAAGAGGCACGTGATGCACACAGCAGGCATAGGGAGACAGACAAGACACACACAGGTCACACGCGCAGATGCACAAGAGACACGAGATGGACAAAATTCACACAGACAAATGACAATGACAGGGCACACACACACAGTGAAGGAAATGTATTCGCAGGACACCCACTTAGACAAGGCGGACAGGCAAGTTGCATACGAAAGACACAAAACCATACGAAAGACAGACACACAACCATACATGTGGCACACGTAGCTACGCAAGTGGCGCTGTTAAATGAAACACACCGAGACAATACACAAAGACATGGCAACATACACAGACAGGATACATAAGAAACACAAAGGACAAGAGACATGAAACGTACTGGAAGGCACACGTGTAATATTAACGCATCAGAATTGAGACATTCAATGGAAACACAGAAACTAAACAAACGTGAGACACCGATGGGTGATAAGCCACACGAGATGGGCATTTGGTAGACACTGAGAAAAGGGCACGGCATGCACGAGACACACACAGGCAAAGACACGCACACAATCTACACACAGACACGCACACAATCTACACACACACAGGCAAAGACACGCACACAATCTACACACACACAGGCAAAGACACGCACACAATCTACACACACAGGCAGACACGCACACAATCTACACACAGACACGCACACAATCTACACACACACAGGCAAAGACACGCACACAATCTACACACACACAGGCAAAGACACGCACACAATCTACACACACAGGCAGACACGCACACAATCTATACACACAGGCAAAGACACGCACACAATCTACACACACACAGGCAAAGACACGCACACAATCTACACACACACAGGCAAAGACACGCACACAATCTACACACACACAGGCAAAGACACGCACACAATCTACACACACAGGCAAAGACACGCACACAATCTACACACACAGGCAAAGACACGCACACAATCTACACACACAGGCAGACACGCACACAATCTATACACACAGGCAAAGACACGCACACAATCTACACACACACACACAGGCAGACACGCACACAATCTACACACACACACAGACACGCACACAATCTACACACACATACAGACACTCACACAATCTACACACACACAGGCAAAGACACGCACACAATCTACACACACACACAAAGACATGCACACAATCTACACACACACGCACAGGCAAAGACACGCACACAATCTACACACACACAGACACGCACACAATCTACACACAGACACGCACACAATCTACACACACACACAGGCAAAGACACGCACACAATCTACACACACACAGGCAAAGACACGCACACAATCTACACACACACAGGCAAAGACACGCACACAATCTACACACACACAGGCAAAGACACGCACACAATCTACACACACACAGGCAAAGACACGCACACAATCTACACACACACAGGCAAAGACACGCACACAATCTACACACACACAGGCAAAGACACGCACACACGCTACACACACACACACAGGCAATGAGACGCAGACTCACACGACACGTACGGCGGGGAAGACAGAGAGAGACAGGCCTCCTGGGACAAGGCACACGGGGAGACAGACAGACAGGGAATACACAGACAGGACACGGACAATCGGCACAGTGGCCACACACAAGACACACAACAGACGCACAAGACAAATGAACGTACACATACACTCAAAATACACTGACGACACACACACGCGCACACAAGAACACAACGCAACAACTCTACCAGTCGTACACCCAGTGAATACACTAAGAGACACACAGAGACACACGCAGACACTGGCATAGAGGATAGACGGCACCACGGGACAGAATAAATAAGCAACGTGTGCACAATTCAAACGCGAGCAACGGGTTACACAGACACACAGACGAGGAGACACAATACGAGATCCTCAGACCGTACACACACACACAGGGTTGGCAAGTCGGTTAAAAGACAACACAAACCACACAATGGGTTACAGAGACACAAATATCTCCCCCCACCCTTCCCCTTTCAACACACATGTAGACAGAATAGTTACAGACGGATGAAACACAAACCACACACACACACGCAATGGGTTACACAGAGACACAAATACCCCCCCCCCACCCCTTCCCCTTTCAACACACACGTGGACAGAATAGTTACAGACGGATTAAACACAAACCACACACACGCAATGGGTTACACACAGACACAAACATCTCCCCCACCCCTTCCAACACACACGTGGACAGAATAGAGACAGACGGATAAAACACAAACCACACACACACACACACGCAATGGGTTACACAGAGACAAATATCCCAGCATAGAGACAGACGGATGAGACAAATCACACACACAAGCACACACAATAGACGGACAACACACAAGGCACACGCCAACATCAACTACAGACACAGGCCTTCCGAGACACAAAATAATACCCACGAAAGCTACACGATGGGCACAGACTTCAAGACAAAGATCCCCCGTGTAGCCTGTCAAAGACTGCTGGGGCAAGTGCTGTTAGCGAGCAACTACGAAGGGGAGTGGATGGCCAGCAACCACGCCCGACCGCCTTTGTCTCCCCAGTGGCGATGATTACCACACACACCGAACCACGGAATCGAACTCGGGTCGCCGGGTTCGTAGCGCAGCGCGCTAACCGCTGCACCACCGCTCCCCGCAAAGTCTGCACGTGTATAAGACACACAACACAATGGATAGACACAGCCAGAGAGATAGAACCTCTTAACACACAAGACACACACACATAGACACACAGATACTAGTAACGCGTACAAGCAGATGCACACCGAACAACAACATGCACGCGTTACAACAAAGACAGAGACCCCCCCCCACACATCCAGTGTTGCCTTTCACATACTGCTGGGGGACAAGCGTTGTTGTTACATTACACAGACACGTGGACATGAGACACACCAAGATCGATAGACACAGCACACGCAAATGACAGCACACGCACACACACAACAGATTCACACGCACATACACACGCCATACAACACACGCACAACAGATTCACACACGCACACACACCGGTCAGATATAAAAACACACGGGATACAAGGCTGGCATTTACACAAAGGCACACACAAGACCTCCGATACAGGCAATACACACACAACAGGTCTCCACAGACACACTGGCAGAGAGACACAAAGGCACAGGGACGCACAGGACATCCATTCAGAAACACAAATACAGAGAGAGGACGACCTGCAATACAGACGAGACGCACACACAAGACACACACTCACACACACAGACATGCACACGAGGTGCACACACACAGACATGCACACGAGGTACACACACAAAGACACACGTACAAGACCTCCAATACAAAGCACACTCCACAAAGACACAAGCCACACACACACACTGACAAATAAAATCACACACACACAAGACACACACACACTGACAGACACAATCACACACACACAAGACATACACACACAGACAAGACCTCAAATACAAAGCACACTCCACAAAGACACAAGCCACACACACACTGACAGATACAATCACACACACACAAGACACAATCACACACACAGACAAGACATGCAATATAGACAAGGCACACGCCACAAAGACACAAGCCACACACACACACACCCAACAGATTCACAAAGACACACTGACAGACGCAACCACACACAGAGACAACCACACACAGACATAAATACACAGACATAAATACACAATAGACACACACACAGGCATCACCACAACCACACTGACACACACACAGACACAAACACACACACACTGACACATACATAAAGACACACACAAAGACACACAATACACACACAGACACAAAGACACATACAGACACAAATACACACACACTGACACACAATAGACACACACAGACAAAGGCACACACATACACAATATACACAGACACAGAGACACACACACATACACAAAGACACACATACACAGACACACAATAGACATACAGACACACAATAGACACACACAGGCATAAAGGCACACACAATACACACACACACATTAGACACACACAATAGACACACACAATAGACACACAGACATAAAGACACACACAATAGACAGACACACACAGACACACACACAGCCATCACCACAGACACAACCACACACAGACACACAATAGACACACACACAATACACACACACTACACACAGACACAAAGACACGCACAGACACAAAGACACACAACACACAAATACACTACACACACACTAGGCACACAGACACACAATAGACACACACACACTACACAGACACAAAGACACACAGACACAAAGACACACACATACACAACACACAAAGACACACACACAACACACAAAGACACTACACACACACTAGACACACACACAAAGACACTACACACACACTACACACACACAAAGACACTACACACACACTAGGCACACAGACACACACACACAACACACAAAGACACTACACACACTAGGCACACAGACACACTACACACAAAGACACTACACACACTAGACACAATACACACACACAGACACACAATACACACACACAACACACACAACACGCACAACACACACAACACACAAAGACACTACACACAATAGACACACAATACACACACACACTACACACAGACACAAAGACACACTACACACAATACACACACTACACACACACACAATACACACACTACACACACAGACACACACAATACACACACTACACACTACACACAATACACACACTACACACACAGACACAAAGACACACACTACACACACACACACACTACACACAATACACACACTAGGCACACAGACACAGACATCAACATCGCTCCCCTCACTAAAATGGCGGCGGCGGTAGCAGCGCCTTCGCGCCCGAACCCCCGAGAGCGAAACGGTCACCCACCCCCACCTCGAACTTCACCACAACAACAACCACAACAACAACAACCACCACAACCAAACAACAACAACAGCAGCCACCTCTCCTGCGCCTCGTCCAGGCTCTGATCCGTGATGCCCACAAGTTGTTGAAGGATGTCTGCCAACTCTCGTTTAGAGGCCGCAGCCGCCGCGGCCGCCGCCTCTCCCCCGTCGGGCTGGAGATGCGGACCCGCCATCCCTCCTCCTCCTCCGTGTCCACCTCCTCCACCACCTCCTCCTCCACCTCCACCGGCTCCAGGGTGAGGAGGAGGAGGGTGCAGACCGAGCGCTGCCGACAGCGGCATGAGCAGGCGGGCCTGGTCCTCCATCATGAAGGACGCCACGGTTGGTGTTGCCGGGGGTGGCGGAGGGGAAGAGGAGGTGGGGAGACACGGGGGGTGACGTTAGGAGGTTGTGGTGGTTGTTGTTGTTGTGGTTGTTGTTGTTGGGTGGTGTAGGCTGCTGGTGGTGCTGGTGGTTGTTGTTGTTGTGGTTGGGTGGTGGTGGTGGAGGCTGGTGCTTGCTGCTGCTGCTGGTGGTGGTAGCAGAGGAGGAATGTGGAGTGTTGTGTGTCGTGGTGGTGGTGGTGGGGAGGTGGAGTTTGTGGTGGGTGGAGATTGTGGGTGGAGTTTAGGTGATGGTGGTGGTGGGGCGGAGTGTGGCGAGAGGTGGTGGTGGTGGAGGTGGTGATGGAAAGGAGGAATGTGTTGAGGGAGGTGGAGTGAGTGGTGATGGTGGTGATGATGATGATGGTGGTGGTGATGATGGTGGTGATGGTGAAGTTGGTGATGATGGTGGTGGTGATAGTGAAGTTGGTGTTAAAGGAGGAATGTGTGAAGAGAGGTGGAGTGAGTGGTGGTGGTGATGGTGGTGGAGGTGGTGGTGGAGGTGATGGTGGTGATGATGGTGGTGGTGGTGGTGATGATGGTGATGATGGTGGTGGTGGTGATGGTGGTGATAGTAAAAGTGTTGGTAAAGGAGGAATGTGTGAAGAGAGGTGGAGTGAGTGGTGGTGGTGATGGTGGTGGAGGTGATGGTGGTGATGATGGTGGTGGTGATGATGGTGGTGGTGGTGATGGTGGTGATAGTAAAAGTGGTGTTAAAGAAGGAATGTGTGAAGAGAGGTGGAGTGAGTGGTGGTGGTGATGGTGGTGGTGGTGATGGTGGTGGTGGTGATGATGGTGATGATGGTGGTGGTGGTGATAGTAAAAGTGGTGGTAAAGGAGGAATATGTGAAGAGAGGTGGAGTGAGTGGTGGTGGTGGTGATAGTGAAGGTGATGACAAAGCAGCAATGTGTGGAGTGTTGTGCAGACAGATGATGGTTGTGGTGGGTGGAATTAAGATGAAGTGGCTTTATGGGTCGACGGGCTGAAAGTGTTGGGGGGGGGGGAGGGTTAGCGTGGTGATGGCTGATGAGTTGATGGACAGGATGATGAAGATAGTTGGGGTGGTAATGGGTGCTCGTTAGCTCTGATGGGAGGGATAAATGGAGGTTGTGGTGGTTGTTGTGGTGGTGATGGTTGTGGAAGCAGTGGAGGGAAAAGCAGTGTGTACGGCATGTCTTTGAGTGATGTGTGCTTGTAGGTGATTGCATCGGAGCTGATGTGATGGGTTCAGTAGCAGTGTGCTGTGTGACGTGTCTGTTTAATTCATGTACGTCGTGTGATGCGTCCAATGCGAGGTGTATTTGCTATTCTGTATGCTATGTAGTATGTATGCTATGTATTCTGTGTGCTATGTATGCTATGTATTCTGTATGCTATGAAGTCTGTGTGCTATGTATCATGTGTGCTATGTATTCTGTATGCTATGTATTATGTATGCTATGTATTCTGTGTGCTATGTATTTGTGTGCAATGTATGCTATGTAGTCTGTATGTATGCTATGTAGTCTGTATGCTATGTAGTCTGTATGCTATGTATTCTGTGTGCTATGTATGCTATGTAGTCTGTATGCTATGTAGTCTGTATGCTATGTATTCTGTGTGCTATGTATGCTATGTATTCTGTATGCTATGTAGTATGTGTGCTATGTATCCTGTGTGCTATGTATCCTGTGTGCTATGTATTATGTATGCTATGTATTCTGTGTGCTATGTAATCTGTATGCTATGTATTTTGTGTGCAATGTATGCTATGTAGTCTGTATGCTATGTAGTCTGTATGCTATGTATTCTGTGTGCTATGTATTCTGTATGTATGCTATGTAGTTTGTATGCTATGTAGTCTGTATGCTATGTATTCTGTATGCTATGTAGTATGTGTGCTATGTAGTCTGTGTGCTATGTATTCTGTATGCTATGTAGTCTGTATGCTATGTAGTCTGTAAGCTATGTATTCTGCGTGCTATGTATTCTGTGTGCTATGTAGTCTGTATGCTATGTAGTCTGTAAGCTATGTATTCTGCGTGCTATGTATTCTGTATGCTATGTATTATGTATGCTATGTAGTCTGTATGCTATGTAGTCTGTATGCTGTGTATTCTGCATGCTATGTATTATGTGTGCTATGTATTCTGCATGCGATGTATTATGTATGCACCCCCTGTACTGGCCTTCTATAATATCCTGAGTGATGTAATCGGTGTTGCTGTGTATTCCATACTCTACACTTTGTATTCTGCATATGCAATGCACGTTATATGTACTATATGATGTGCTAGGTAGACATCGTTATATTGTGTGAGTATGCTTTATCTCTCGTGTGTATGCTGTATGGTTTGCATTCTGTACGCACTATATGCTGTAGGTGATGTATGCACACTAAAAGTTGTGTATTGCACGTGTGCTATATGTTCTATGTAGGTTTGTATATCCTGTATGGTGTGTGTGCGTATACTGCATGTATTGTGTGTGTGTGTACTGCACGTATTGTGTGTGTACTGCATGTATTCGGTGTGTACTGCACGTATTGTGTGTGTACTGCATGTATTCGGTGTGTACTGCACGTATTGTATGTGTACTGCATGTATTGTGTGTGTGTACTGCATGTATTGTGTGTGTGTACTGCACGTATTGTGTGTGTGTACTGCACGTATTGTGTGTGTACTACACGTATTGTGTGTGTGCCCTGTATGTGCTTTTGTGTGTGCACTGTGTATTGTGTGTGTGTGTACTGCACGTACTGTGTGTGTGTACTGCACGTATTGTGTGTGTACTGTGTGTGTGTACTGTGTGTGTGCCCTGTATGTGCCCTGTATGTGTACTGTGTGCCCTGAATGTGTACTGTGTGTGTACTGTGTGTGCCCTGTATGTGTACTGTGTGTGTGTACTGTGTGTGCCCTGTGTGTACTGTGTATGTGTACTGTGTGTGTGCCCTGTGTGTGTACTGAGTACTGTGTATGTGTAGTGTGTGTGTGTACTGTATGTGTGCCCTGTGTGTGTGCCCTGCGTGTGTACTGTGTGTGTAGTGTGTGTACTGTGTGTGTAGTGTGTGCCCTGTATGTGTACTGTGTGTGTGCCCTGTATGTGTACTGTGTGTGTGTACTGTGTGTGCCCTGTATGTGCCCTGTGTGTGCCCTGTGTGTGTACTGTGTGTGTACTGTGTGTGCCCTGTGTGTGCTGTGTGTGTACTGTATGTGTACTGTGTGTGCTGTGTATGTGTACTGTGTGTGTACTGTATGTGTACTGTGTGTGTACCCTGTATGTGTACTGTGTGTGTACTGTGTGTATGTACTGTGTGTGTGTACTGTGTATGTGCCCTGTATATGTACTGTGTGTGCTGTGTGTACTGTGTGTGCCCTGTATGTGCCCTGTGTGTGTAGTGTGTGTGTACTGTGTGTGTGCTGTCGTGGTGACGTGTCCCACGCGTTCTTTAGAGACACACAACTGATGGGCGGCCACTCCAGGCCATGTTCTCTGCAACTCCAGCGACTTGGGGGGGCTGGTGGTTGGGGGGGGCGGGCTGGCGGGCTCCTATTAAAAGTTGCTGCTGGGTCGACGCGGACAAGAGGCTCACTTATTGGCTCAGTTGCTTCGTATCCACACGCAACAACACCAAGCCAGGAGCTCAAACTAGCAACACTGCGGAATTCAAAACTAAAACCACACCGCAAGCCGACCCCCCCCCCCCTTGCCACTCGTTAAAATTACACAAGAAAATAAAAGAGAAATAAAGAACGTGCTAAAATTGTAACTGCCCGTCGAACAACGGGCAGCCTGGAAACGATAAAGATTAAACGACGACGATGATGATGGTGGTGATGGTGATGATGTTTCAATGATAGCCGAGTAAAGCCGACATCAACCCCGCGCCCTGTCCGCTCCTTCTCACCCCCCTCGTCTCGACCCCCCCCCCCCACTCCTCTAGCGACACGCCCACTCGCGCCGATTCCACCAATGGGAGCGCGTGCCTAGCACGAAGGGCGGGTTGCCACGCCCTCTTGCGGTTGATTGACAGCGACGGCAGCCAATGAGACGCGAGGGTGTACGCCCGCCGTTCACGCGTTCCCTTGTGCCACGCCCAACGAATGTGATTGACAGCGCGATGAGCCAATCGGAAGGCGAGGTGCGTGTCGCCACGCCTTCTTGCGGTTGATTGACGGCGAGAGCAGCCAATGAGAAGCGAGGGTGCACGCCCTCCGTTCACACATTCCCTTGTGCCACGCCCAACGACTGTGATTGACAGCGCGATGAGCCAATCGGAAGGCGATGCTTGGGAGGGGCTTTGCGAGAGCCACGCCTTTAGCGGTTGTTATCGGTGGTTGGGGGGAGGAGTCGAATGATGCTTGCCAGAGCAGAGGTTTCTCCTCCAGATGTAAACGTAGCGCATATGTAATCTGGAGGTTTTTGGCCTCTAACTATATTTTTCCTCTGATCTGGCAAAGGCTATTGCAAAGCTTTGAGTTTTTAAGGGACTTTTTTTAACGTCCAGTTTTTATTTTATTGGAACACCCCAGTGCCATTCGTTTGTAAGGCCCATGGTCTTGCCGATCAGACCCAGTAAAGTCAAAACCAGTCGAATGGACCATATGGCCATACTATGAGTGATCAGTGGCGTTGGATTAAGTGGCCGCAGCCTTGCCGATGAAACCGCCAAGAAATCGAACTCGCCCTTGAAGGTTCCTGTTCATGAGCCTCGATGCCTTGCCGATGAGTGTCAATGGAAGTGAAACCAGTCCATGGATTGCCATGCACACGAGATCCGGGTTACCCCGTTGATGATTGGTCGAGGAGGCTTGCAGCCTTCAGGTGCATCTCGCCCCAGGGGTCGGTAAAAACCTGCGGCTCCTGAGCCGCATGCGGTGGCTCTATGAGGAGCGGCAGTGCGGCTCTTGAAATTCTATTTTTTTTTAAATGTTATGTCTCTTGTTATTTTGATTGTCCAGTTTACTGTGGGAGTCCACTTTACCATGGAAGTTTGGTTTACCGTGGAAGTCCAGTTCACCATGGGAGTCCAGTTTACCATGGAAGTGCAGTTTACCGTGGAAGTCCAGTTCACCATGGGAGTCCAGTTTACCATGGAAGTGCAGTTTACCGTGGAAGTCCAGTTTACCGTGGAAGTCCAGTTTACCATGGGAGTTTGTTTACCGTGGAAGTCCAGTTCACCATGGGAGTCCAGTTTACCATGGAAGTGCAGTTTACCATGGAAGTTTGTTTACCGTGGAAGTCCAGTTCACCATGGGAGTCCAGTTTACCATGGAAGTCCAGTTCACCATAGAAGTCCAGTTTACCATGGAAGTCCGGTTTACCATGGAAGTCCAGTTTACCATGGAAGTCCAGTTCACCATGGAAGTCCGGTTTACCGTGGAAGTCCAGTTTACCGTGGAAGTCCAGTTCACCATGGAAGTCCAGTTCACCATGAAAGTCCAGTTTACCGTGGCAGTCTAGTTCACCGTGGAAGTCCAGTTTACCATGGAAGTCCAGGTCACCATGGAAGTCCAGTTTACCATGGAAGTCCAGTTCACCATGGAAGTCCAGTTTACCATGGAAGTCCAGTTCACCATGGAAGTCCAGTTTACCGTGGAAGTCCAGTTCACCATGGAAGTCCAGTTCACCATGGAAGTCCAGTTTACCATGGAAGTCCAGTTTACCATGGAAGTCCAGTTCACCATGGAAGTCCAGTTCACCGTGGAAGTCCAGTCTGGTTTACCATGCGCAGGGGTGGGCAAGCTGCAAGTCCGGGACCGCATGGGGTGGCTCTCTAAGGGCCTCTGTTTCGTGACCGTCATTAATGAAGGGCTGCCACCACCGTCTCGTATTCCCCCACGTGGCATTGCGGCATTTGAAACATCGCGGGTCTCTTTGAACGGATTCGAAAGGGGAATCAAAAAAAAATCCTTCCTCTTGTTGTTTTGGTTTGACGATCTCGGCGAAATGTCTCATGAAACAAATGGCGAGATGACCTGGTGGGTTAGAGGTCAGAGCACGGAGCTGGAACCCCTTGAGATCTGCCCTAGTTCGAATCCGGGTTTCGGCCACTTCCTCTGATTAAACCGGATCCTAAATTGTAGAAGATTGTATCGTATCAGTCTCGGTCACCGACAACTTTACCAAAGCCCTGATTTCAAGTTTTCGTTTTGTGCTCCTTAAGTATTTGGCTAAAATATACCACTCGCTCGGCTGTCACGCGATCAACACTTCTCCCCTTTGGCACCGGGAGCTGCAGAGGGGTGGACACAAGATCTGCCCGCTGTTGCGTGCGCCACAGATGCCATTTGGAGGCATCTCAGAGCTCACGTTGTGATATCTGCTTCCAACTAAACGTCTGAAAAAAATTGTAACAAAAAGAGAAAACCCGTTTGCTTGATTTTCAACAATATTCCTCCGATTTTTTTTTTTTAAACAACAAATAAGTTGGGGACATTTGCTCACGTGACAACTGGATTTAAGGAGGATTTCTCCACAAATCTGGCTGCCACCTGATGAAACTGGTTGTCATTATTGGCGAAACGTCGTAGTCGGATTGTAAAGGTTGTGGATTTGCTCTCCAACACACCCAGTGTGCTGTACTAGTGACGAAAAGTGGTGGAGGGTTTAGGGACGCATTTATATATTTACCCGATCTAACCCAAGAAAAAAACCTGCATCATGGATGATATTGGTCACGTGTTAAACTGAACTGTCTCTTACACTGAGACCTCCTTTACCAGTGGCAAAATATAGTAGTAGGTTTTTACCCTTTCAATTGGTACAAAAAACTGACACCTTTATACAAGGGATCATGTCTGCAATAACCACAACACAAGCAATCAAAACGCAAACTAAAATAAACAACTATGATAATGATATGCGAAATTTTTTTGAGTTGTACGCCTTTTGGCGTCATCTGGTCCAACACCAATGGAGACTAGGCTCTAAGAAAAGCTGTCTCGGGTGTGGACCAATCAACTTCAAAGATAGTGCATATCATTATCAGAGTTGTTTATTTTTGTTTGCATTTTGACTGCTTGTGTTGTGGTTATTGCAAACATGATCCCTTGTATAAAGGTGTCAGTTTTTTGTACCAGTTGAAAGGCTCAATAAGAAATGGACATTATTCACGACATGCAAGATTTCGATTTAAAGCTTTCGTGACTGCAGGGATTCATCTTCTTGGTTCTTTCGGTAAAGTCACGTAGAAGGGAAAAAATAAAATAATGAAAATAAAAAATAATAAAATTTCGATTTAAAGCTTTCGTGACTGCAGGGATTCATCTTCTTGGTTCATTCGGTAAAGTCACGTAGAAGGGAAAAAATAAAATAATAAAAATTAAAAATAATAAAATTTCGATTTAAAGCTTTCGTGACTGCAGGGATTCATCTTCTTGGTTCTTTCGGTAAAGTCACATAGAAGGGAAATAATAAAATAATAAAAATAAAACATAATAAAATAATTCTCGCGACGTTTTTTTATTATGTTTTATTTTTATTATTTTATTATTTCCCTTCTACGTGACTTTACCGAAAGAACCAAGAAGACATGCAAGATGATCTCACCCCAAATAAATAAATCCGCTTCTCAGGGCCCCGTTTCCTAACAACAAACGTTTGCACTGTTTGTCATGAATCTGTTAAAAGATCCAAACGTTTACATACGAATATATATTTACAAATGGTCAAATCCTTAATTTACAAATGCCTCCAATGACAAGGGGCAATGCTAACTGAATGTGCTCCCACACGGCGAGGAAGTGAAACAAAGGTCCCCCGTATAGCCTGCACAGGCTGTTGGGGCAAGTGCTGTGAGCGAGTACCACCGATGAAGGCTACCGGCACAGCACACGAGAGGGTGGGTGGCTAGCACCACGCCCGGCCGCCTTTGTCTCCCCAGTGGCGATATTTATACACCGCACCAGGTACTCATTTGAGGCTGAGTCGACACACACGTGCGCACACCTGCATACACGTACACACGTACACACACACACGTACACGCACACGTACACAC